TACTGCATTGAATAGACTAGTGACTAGTATAATGTTATTTGTTTAATTATTGTACGATATAACGAATAAAATATCTAATTATTCTTAATATAATGCTTTACTATATCGCCCAGAAAATTGTTTTTCGCCCCCCAAAAATAAATTGTTACTAATCGCCCCCTGAACATGGAAAAACGCCCACATGGGGGCGATATCACCCCCGTTGAGAAACACTGCCCTAGCCGATGCGACGACTATCGAACACACGGGAACGACAATCATAATCATAAGACAATGTCATAAGGCAATCATAAGACAATGTCAGCAACTGGAGCTGGCTGAAAAACTTCGCGTTCAATTCTTATACAATGCTAAACGAGAAGCATAAACGGAACGTCATGGCACAAGACCCCGCCACGTTTTCAGAAGCGTTGAGGGTAGCGATAAGAGAGGAAACAATCAAACATCTAACAGGGAAAAATAGGAATTGTGTTGCAGGCGTAGAGAAAACGCAGGATAATCGCGCAGAAAAGGGGAGAACAAAAACGTAGACCAAGAACCCGCGCTCGACGCGAAAATTAATCAAATTACGCGGCAACTTGAAAATTTGGGGAAAAAAATCGTGAATCAGTCCTCAGGCGTACACGCAATTTAAGATTAATTAATTAATTTTGTAAATATCTCAAGAATTCGTAGCCTTTTTTAGTCCGTTCTTATACCGAATCGATACAGAAGCTAGAACCATATTTGTAGCATATGATCTGATATCAGATTTATCATCTAGTACACTTTTCCACTTGAAACTAAAGCTCCGATGCTTCATATACAGTATGTATAGCTGTATTAATTTATACTTCGTATTTTGAATTAATTTCAAAAACTTGTTACAAATATAGCGAAATGTTAATAAGTCGCCAGTTTATTCGCGTAAATGTAAAATATTTATGCCAATAAATTCACCTTTATTTAATTTAATGAGTTACATTTCTTAAAGTTAGTATAATATTTTATTATTTTATAGCTATTCTCCTTTCTGTTATGGTTAGATTTATAATTCCGATGGCTCATTATTCTGCATCCATTAAGGGCGTGACCAATTCCATTATGAGCATAATAAAGGCCCTCTTAGTGACCACCGAGCAGAAAGAATTATAAACTAAAAGGAAAAAATTTAAAAGAAATTTTTGAATAATTAAAAATTTAAAATTACATAATTTCTAAAGAATTTTATTTAAATGTCAGCAAATTTGAGGAAAAACGAGGAGAATAAAAATCTTTTGAACGACTATTTTCAGCTATATCAAGAAGTAAATAACCGTGAAAAATCAGACATTACACACGTACCGATCTCAACAATTCACGCATAGTTTTAAAAAGTTACAGCTTAATTAATGAAATTATTAAAATTTATATTTATTAATATATTAAATTAATAATCACAATTAACTGAAAGTTAATAAGGCAAAATTATTACGATAAATCGAATTAACATTTTGCGTTCATAAAATTACTCCGAATAAATTAGAAGCGAGATTAGTGTATGTTCCGGAACATCATTTTATGAACTCGGTTATCTTATTGTAGGAAGTGACAAGATGGCGAATGTTTATGTATAGTAGAAGTGTAGAGTTTCGAAGAAACACCAGCGCAGATTTGGACAAGTTAAATATTCTTTAACAGCATGGACGATATCACGGGCAGTTTGATTATATGGGTATAGTTTTGTTTTGCTTTATTATATGCCACGATAATTTAATTGACGGTACTGATTCAATGGGTTAAGTCAAAGACTTGTGTTTATTTATAGGTTCGTTAGTTAATTTAATTTTCAAAGTTTTATAAATAATCATTGTTGACTTTCACAAAATTTAAATAAACGTTTAATTATCTTTATAAGAAATCAGACAAACAGAATTAAGTTTATGAAATAGATTATACTAAAATTGATTTTCTTAAAATTTTGTTAATTTCTTTAACATTTAAAAGAATTAATAATATAATTAATAATTCAAATTGCCTTTCATATTCATCAAAACAGCAAAAATGAGTTTTTTTCGTTGGCACTAAATACCTACATTAAAACAATTTAAACTGAAGAATGAAGCCTTACTAATTTATCTATTTATCTACTCAGAAACAGGTTTTTACTTTTCACTGATTAATAAAAATGAATTGATTTTTTTATCAGTCAGTCTACCCAAAGAACATAAATAATAATTTTTGCATGTTTTAATATACATGGGTGTATGGAAAAATAACATGTGGTTGTAAATTTTATATTTTATGTAATATGTAAATTACAACACTGAAAAAAATTTAAATAGCAGTTTGCATATTTTATAAATGCCTATTTCATTGAACTTGTTTGAGAATAATGAATTTGTTATTTTAAAGTACAGAAAAACTATTGAAGAAGAAAATTGGGTACTAAAAATTGTCAAAGTTAAAACCTAAACTAAAAGATTCCATCCCGAATGGGTTTGGTTGAATTATTAACATTTGCAGTTTAAGGGGGAATCTATAGATATTTTGATTACGTTTGATAAAATTCAAAAGTGATATGCTATTTTATTTTTGATACTATTTTGCAATTTTTTAATTTAAAATTTAGTATTTACACAATGGATTTAATGTATTATATATGTTTTATTTTCTGTATTATATACAGTATTAAATAGAAGGTAGCAGCTGACAACATCAAAAACATTTATATTAAGTGTTGGTCTGTCTTCTATTTCAGAAGAATAAATAAAGAAAGGATTTATAATAAGCTTATTATCAATTATTATAAAAAATAAATTGTTATAACAGTTATCAATATTCTATGAATAATAGTCGAAACAATTTTGGATATGACAACAGGTCGTCCGTGTTATCTTTTCTTGATACTGTATATAACTGTAAAAACAATTTAAATATTTGAATATAAAAACTTGTATTCACATTAATAAAAACTTTATATTTAAATAATTAATAAGCATACATTATTGTTGTTTTTCACTAATTTAACTTTCAAATCATATAATCTGACTCTTTTAATATTAACTTAAAATTTAACTGATTTTAATAACTGGTATCCTTTTTAATCCACAAGTTTTTGAACTGATAGTATTCTAGTATTTGAAGTCTATGAATGAAAATATTTGTTTTACGGCCATAAGATTTAAAATACTAATAATTATTCATTTATGACATCTTTATACATGTAAAATAAATAGTTTGAGATAGTAATGGCTAAAATTAAAGTTGCAATAGAGATAGAATAGTAATTAATGGAAAATATTTTAGTAATATAGTAATTATAACTTAGATATGCATGTATGAATAGTATATACATTTAATGGGTGATTGTTTAGTTATTACCCTCCAATGTTTAGCAATAATGTATTATTAAACAGAAACAAATTTTCTATTATTGAATACTAGTTGTAACCAGCAAAAATATTTACTGTAAAAAATTGTCAAATTACAAATATGTAGGGCTAATTCAGAAGCAAATAAATTTTTTACCTAAAGTTTATTAATATAAGACAAAAATTCTTGGTATACTACATTTCATAGGAATAAGTTCAATATCTGGAATGGCAGGGAGGAGTTCCACTAAGGCAAGTTGATTCTAGTTATTTTAAATGAAATTAAACAGTAAAATAAATGCAATAGGGCTAAACTACACTAAATATGCTTCAAAAGGATGTATAAGATGAAAATGTAATTCATGTATCCTAAATGTATCATATATGTATCTTAACAAATTTGAAATAGATTTCACCTTAGCTTATTCTCTGCATAGTAGAATCCCAATTACCTGAGGTAATGTGGACTGATGCTATCTTGGATAACTAAAAACCTGAATAAGATGAATGGCCATGGCCATTTCAGATTAAAAATTATGAATATAAAAGTTCTGTATACTAGCCTACTTTTAAACATTTTTTTATACTATATTGAATTTAAATGATAAAAAGTAACAGAAACAAATTATTTTGTAATACATTATCATTTTAAATTTTTTTATGAATTACAATATAAAAAAAGTAATGTATTTATTTTCAGACTTGGCTTAGATAATCAGGATTCTGCCATATATAGATTTATAACCCTACTAATGTATAATATTACTGAAAACAGTATTTAAATTGATTGAAAACTGTTTTGAAATTAATTATAATTTAGTTTCTTGAAATAATTTTTTTGTGTTTTGTCAGAGGTTGCTTAAAAATTTAAAACATTTAAAGCAACTGACTATTATTACTAAAATCAATATTTAATAGTATAGAACTAATTTCTGCACATAAACAGGGGTCTCACCGCATAGTGCCAAAACCACCACTAGGCAATATTTTCATTAAAGTGGCAATAAAAAATAATACTTGTGATAAAAACTAGTCCATTTATTTTGACATTCAGAGTGAAATTGAATCAAAAAGCACGCTTCAGAAAAAAAACAGCAAAATGTCTAGCTCCTGTGTGATGGTAGTATCACGTACCATACACCTGGTGATATCATGACATCACTCAGCAAGTTTGGACAGAAAAGCAGGAAGTGATATTGCAAACCATGCTCAGCCACCCAGTATTTCCAGATTGGGTATTTTTTGGGGGGTGACATTTCTTTTTCACTTTGATCTTTATTCAGTAGAATAAAGCATAAAAATTTAGTCGTGACAGAACCTACGAAATTGATATCAAGTGTGTTATTCATTAACATATTTTTCAAAAATGATTCCTATTTCTAACTGACAGCTTAACTTTCTAAGTAACATGTTACTTTTGTTTTCCAGACTCCAAACTGATAAGGCTATCAGCACTCACATTAATTAGTAAGTAAAACTGATGGCAATAAGTAATTTGAAGTGGCAAAAAAGTTTAAAACTGGCAAAATGGTTAGCGATTTTTTAAAATTTTCCAGAGCAACCCCTGCATACATATTCATACAATTGGAAACTTTAATAGTATGAGTCTCCTTGATGAAGTTCTGACTATTTGAAATTTGTGTGTGTAATTTTAAGATACAATGTAGTTCTAATTTGTAAAATTTGTATTAATTTTGAATTTAATAGTTCATTCTATTGAAAATTTATCATCCATAATTTTTTTACTTTTGTATATTTTATTATTATCTATATTTTGAATACATTAGGTAAGATACAGGAGAAATATTAAAAGAAAATAATTATTTTAAATTTTTTAATAACAAAATTTACAAGATATGAACAATACTCAAACTAGATGGATTATTAATCTGAACTAGATGGTTGATTCCATCAACCATCTAGTTAAGATTAATAGACCATCTATCTGTAAAAGTATAAAGTCCTTTGATGGTTGTAAAACTTTTGAAATTGTTAATTAAAAAATCTATAGAGAGAGAAAAATTTTGTTAAAATTTGCATGATATATATTATATTGTAAGCAATATATATATCGAGCAACTTTTTAACAGTTTTTTCAATGTAATTAAGTTTTATATATATAAATAGTTTATATAGTGTTATATAGTAGAGCGTCGATTATCCGAATCAATTGTTCAGAAAATCGATATTTCGGATAACTGATTTTGTATGAAAAAATATATTAATCAACCCCATGTTGAAATTTTTCTCTGTTGCGAGTTGCTTCGCGTTGAATTTTTGTCGATGTTAAGCCTAACGAAGACTATTGTATCATTAAAAGTTATTTTTTTATTTTATACAAACAAAATAAATATATTGAAAAATATAAAAACAATAAAAAGTTATACTTCAGAAGTTAATTTAGTATCAAAAACGTAAAATATTTGAGTAGCCCAAGACATAGCCAAAGATTG